TTGCAAGGAAGTTAGCCTCCCGGCGTCTGGTAAAGAGTGCTAGTGCTAAATAATCAGATTCCCAAAGATCTGATCAAAAGAACTGTTCTTTTCTAGAACCAAGGGGAGGACTGGCGTCCTGCTTTGGCTGTCACATCTGCATTTGCTTGTGAGGCCTGGAGACCTCCTGCCCCGTTTCTCCGTGGCTGCCTGGCCCCGCGTCTCTGACACCAGCCTCCTGGGTCCTCACCCTGGCCTTTTTATTTCTTGCTGCTCACCTTCCTAATGGCAGAGTCCCCCGAAAATCCGACCTCTTCTTCCCGTCCTCCGGGAACCGGAAGGGGGCACGGGACACCAGCTCGGAAGCTGAGGTTCAAGTGGGGAGTCACCCGGGGCCTCGCAAAAAAGCCAGGGTGTGCCTATGTCCTGAGGCGTAAGGGAAACCCATGGAGGGTAGAAAGGGGGGAGCCAGTCGGAGCCGCGCAGAGGTCCAAAGCAAGTCTAGGAGAACTGAGGCCCGTCCCCGTGGCCTCGGAGCAGCGGGCTGTGTGTGTAAAAACGAGACTTCGGCCAGCGGCCTGGGCGCATGGCCGGGGGCTGGACTTCTGACGGCCATCAGGAGTGAGGCCTCTTTCACCTTGTGACACGGTGTGGACAGCCTTTGTATCATAAACAGTCACACCCAGAGAAACAAAGATGTGTGCTAGGAGCGCACCGTTAAATCGCTACGAAATGTATCCACTGTGCACGATAATGACCTTCAGAAACAATGCACATGGCTACAGGTAGCATTTATTAACGGACAGGGACATCCTTACGGATACACGAGGTGTCCGTACTCAGCAGGTTCAGTCTCGCTTGACTCTCGCTGATGAACACGGGGCCCAGAAGACTCTAGTCATGCCTTTAAACGTTCTGCTGTGCTTCCTTTTTACCTTTGTCATCCATGCAGCCTAATCAAGACTTTTTTGATGCTTGACGACGCCCTCACGATCCCTTTTTCCTCAGCTGAAATAAAATATCGTCTTTAGAATAATTTCTTTGAAATAAAAAAAAAAAAACAAAACGTTGAAAAAGGGGCTCCTGGGTGGCGCAGTCGGTTGGGCATCCGACTTCAGCCAGGTCACGATCTCGCGGTCCGTGAGTTCGAGCCCCGCGTCAGGCTCTGGGCTGATGGCTCGGAGCCTGGAGCCTGTTTCCGATGCTGTGTCTCCCTCTCTCTCTGCCCCTCCCCCGTTCATGCTGTGTTTCTCTCTGTCCCAAAAATAAAAAAAAAATAAAAAAATAATAATAATTTCTTTGGAAACCTTCCCTGTTCATGCCCCTGGCTTTCTTTTTTAACATTTAGACTCGTGTTTTGCGGAATTGTTTGTTTGTTTTTGTTTCTAATGAAGTGAATTTTCTGGTTCAGGGCTTTTGACAGTGTAAAAAAAATGTAATTAAAATCACACTGGTCACAAGAGGAGACTTTTGGCAAAAGCGTGTTTTTATTCCCCTCCTGAAAACACACACACACACACACACACACACACACACATCCAGGACCTTGGCCAACCTGATTTTCATCTAACTGCCTAAAGGCCCGGGAGCTGTAAACTGTCCCCCCCGCCCCAGCTTGTCTGCCTGCCAGCCTTCTGAACACAGAGGCTTCTTCTCAGAAGTTCAAAGACCAACTTCACATCGTCTGCAAAGCTTATTTTGAATCTGCCCGAGGGAAGCACTTTGAGGTTAATCCCAGGGCCTAAGTCCAAATGAGAGTCAAATGGAAGGCTTTTCCAAAGTCTCACCACAAATCGGGTCTCGGGGACTTGCAAGGGGGCAGTGGCTGAGGTGGCCCGCTGAGGAGGGAGGCAGCTGGGTCTGGTTTCCTTGCAGAGACCCCCGGTGGAGGATGCTGCTGTCATATTATGTTTATTTTGCTTAATGATGTGATGATGAAAACATCACCCTTGGCAAATTCCTATCTTAATGCCTCACAAAGCAGCTGGAGACTTTGCTGAAGTAACCAGAATAAGCCGATTGGGAAGTATGTTTGGTTTCCCTTTCTAAGAATTTCCGTGAACGTAAGTCAAGGTAGATTGATCCTCATGAAAATATGTGCGAGGATGTGAGAAGAGCTTCCTGCAAAAGTCCCCATATGGTGAGTCTGAAGAGAGGTTCATGATACATAATTAGCTCCTGGAAAGGAAGGAAGGAGGGAGAAAGGAAGGAGGGAGGGAGGAGGGAGGAAGGAGTGGGGAATACGGAAGTCTATGAAGGTGCAAGGGCACCATCCAAGGACACAACAGTTCTTTGTTGTCCACTTTGGTTCTACTCTTACTTACTGGTGAACTTGAAATAATCCTTTTCTCCCTCTGGATCTCAATGACTTTATCAGCACGAAGAGAAGAATTGGAGGAGACAAATTGGCAAAATGGCTACCACGGTAAGGTTAGTTAATACGTCTGTCTCCTCACATGGTTAAGGTTTTTGAGTGTGGAGACGACTCAAGGTCTACTCACTTTGCAAGTCCCGAGTATCAGATGCAGTCTGGTTGTCTACAGTCACCACCACGTGGCATAACGCATCCCCAGGTCTCATTCGTCCAGCGGGTGCATTTTAGTGTCTCTTTTCTCTCTAAAATGTCGGTAAGTATGTATGTGCATGTTGTCCAGCAGAATTTTAATTTTTTTCTGAAAGAGACAAGACTGCCAGGCCTTCATCCCACATAACAAAGAAAACAAATAGCCAAATATTAACATCTTATTCGATTTTTATTTTTGCATTTGCAGTTTTGCATCTAGAATTTTCTATGTAAATCTTCACTATTTCCGTACCTCTTTGAAAGGACAGAATATTGGTAAAGAAGCAGAGCTGGGTCCTTTATTCAAGGCCTGATTTCTTGAAGCTTCTTCCTGTTTCTTAAAACCGCATGGAATTTCCACATAGATGCCATTATTTAGCTGCCTGAAACACCTTCAAAATGAAGATCTTAATACTTCTAGAAGTTCTAGGGTGTGCTTTTTTTTTTTAAATTTTTTAACGTTTATTTATTTTTGAGACGGAGAGAGACAGAGCATGAACAGGGGATGGGCAGAGAGAGAGGGAGACACAGAATCGGAAGCAGGCTCCGAGCCATCAGCCCAGAGCCCGACGCGGGGCTCGAACTCACGGACCGCAAGATCGTGACCTGGCTGAAGTCGGACGCTTAACCGACTGCGCCACCCAGGCGCCCCTCTAGGGTGTGCTTTTTAATGGTGATGTTAGAGTGCCGATTTCTTCCTTCTGCACCTAAGTGGAGATGATGTAGACAAATGGTCACAGAAGAGAGAGAAATGAGCAGATTCATTGATTAGGGGGATGATGTATTTATCGGCTTAGGTCTCTATGCCTATGTCACAAGGCAATTTTGTCCCGGTGCAGACCAGCCTTGATCCTTGGGTGACAATGTTCGCTAAGAGGTTTGGGTAAGGAGGGAACGCTGGCCACACCAGCCCCTGCTTAGGGACCCTCTGTACCGACTGAGGTCCTTCCCCATGTGGTACCCCTACTTGTCTACCTTGTACCCACTGCACTCCTTCTTGCCTTCCCCTAAACACACACACACACACACACACACACACACACACACACGCTTTCACATACTCTCACGCACTGACACAGACACGCCCTCACACAATACACTCACACACATTCACACTCTCGCACACTTTCTCTTTCACACGCACACACACACCCACTCTCTCCTTGTACGTGATGTTCACCTTGACCGTGAGCTCTCTCCCAACTTCATTACCGGTTAAACTTTGGTTCCCACGGTCTTCTCTGTCTGCTGTCCCCGATCCTGGACCATGACCAGTAGACTCCTCATCTATATTTGCAGTTTGGATCTCCAGGAAGCCCCTTCCGATGAAAAAGCAGCAGGGAACACGCGGCATTTAGGTCCCACACCCCAGAGAACCAGAGAGCCACACACACCAGCGCGTGCCTGCTGCTGGCACCCGTGGCCACTTGGAGGTTGGCGGATCCGTCTGGAACACGAGCGCTGGGACGGCTCTGCAAGTGACACCTGGAGACACGGGCACCCAGAGCCGCGTGAACGCCACGCTTCGGGAGAAAACCCCTGAAATCCACAGTAGCTTGAAGGGTTAACAGAGCCTTGCCTGCTAGTAGGTTGTCTCCCTCCTGGGGAGTCACACACACGCGGGCCGTAAAGACAGGCTGAGATCTTGGGTCACAGTGTAAGGTTGTGTTAAGGAAGAATTAGAACTGAACATAAATTAATGAGGATATGACCTAGTAAAAGCTTTCCCACGGTTAAAGCTCTTTGTGATTGCGTTTTGCCTTACTACGTATTTTTGAAAATCAATAAAAATTAATACTAATGCTTCTGGAATGAATAAGGGGGAGACCAGGCTACATTTTACTTTCCAGGCATTGTGCTGAGTGTGCAGCCTCACGGGGAGACGGGTGACCACAGCGCTCGTGAGCACCGGGAAGGGTGCTTGTGAGCCCAGGCAGAGACTGTGGTTCCGGTCCGGCTCTGTTATCAACAACAGCAAGGTCTTTGAACAGGACCTTCTGTTCGGGCCAGGCTGATGCTCAAAGAGGAAGGTTCTTTTTTCGTACAGATTTAGGTTTAATTGCTTTGGAAAATGTTGCCTAAATTAAGTTTTTAAAAAAAGAAAGTCTGAGGCCTGTTTGAGGTGCCGTTTGATGAGGAAACACATGGCCAAAACCACTCCTTGCTGCTGGACCCCGCGAGGCGGTTTTTCTCTCTGCTCTGCAGGGCCTGACAGAGAGCCAGCTCCTTCTGGGGGTTATGAGGCAACTGGAATGTACTCTGGAATGTACTGGAATGTACTGGAAAGTACTGAGAAGGGAGAAATGTGCGGCCACTATCGTTACCCAACCAAATCCGACAGCGCGTCCATTTGGACTGATGTCATTTCCTGTGTCTCACACCCTCTCGCCTTTCTCACCAAGCCTCCAGGGTCCAACCCCAACATCCCTACCACCTTCCTTCCACTCAGAGTCAAGTATGACCTCACAGATCCTCATGGGCTTTATTTATGCCTGTTTGTTAAGACTCTCCACACCCACGCAACCCCTGATACGTCAAACACCATGGCATTCAAACACACAACTCCGCTTCCTCCGGGATCACTGTCTTCCCCTTCTCTGGAATTCTCTGGAATAGCAGAGGCTGGCTGGGACCCTGGCATTGTACGTGTGCATGTACGTATTTCTCAATTGTCTGTTTGCATTATGGAAACATGTGGAGAATTATATCCAAAGAATGGAGGGTTGGCTTGGGTGCAACTGAGTCTGATCCACTTGTGCAGATATCTGTAAGAAAAGATCACATAAATGAAGAACTGGTTGAGAAGAGGTTTGCATGGGACGTGCAATTTCTATAGAAATTCAAGTCACTCGAAAGCATAATGCATCATGTTCAGTCTTCCGTTGGCTGCTAACAACAGGTGTATTTCCTATCACATGGGGGCAGAGAACAAGATATGTGCTTGAAACACCGTTAGCATTGTTAAAACTGACCACTGCGTTGAGATGAAAATAGGTTTCTTGAATGTATAGATACGGATTTTTCTTTGCACTGGAAAACCATTGGCGTGGTATTACTTTGGCATCAATGACTCAACTAATGATGTGAATCTCTATGCATGCTCTTTGCCTGGGTTAATGTTACAGGGCCTTTGATTGCCAGATGCATTTCCCTGCCTATAAAAGAAGCTGAACGACTCTTCATGCATTTATTAGCTGCTGGGTCTTCTTTCCCTATGGAGTATCTAGAGACAGTCATTCTGGTCCTTTCTATTGGGCTATTTGTGTTTTTAATTGATCCGTAAATGTTCTTTATGAATTTTGGACACAAATCATTTGCCACTTATAGGCACCACAGATACTTTTTCTGAAGTTTAAGCTTTGCTTTCCAAACTTCATGTTGTTTTGGGATTGAAACGATTATTTTTAATTTTGATAGAATCTGTTTAGGATGCTTTTATTTGTAAGTTCTTCTTCTGTGTGTTTTATAGGAAACCCTCTTTCCAGGGTTACAAAGATATTTTTCTAATGTTTATTCTAATTTTGACTTTTCTAACATTTATTCTAATTTTGTTTTTTAAATTTTCCCTTCACATGTTAAGACTTTAAGGACTTCAGTTCTGTGTACGCTACAGGAGAGGGGTTCCATTTCGTTTTTTTAATGTACTTATTTTTGAGAAAGAACAAGAAAGCGACAGAGAATCTCAAGCAGGCTCCACGCTGCCAGTGTGGAGCCTGACATGGGGCTCGATCTCATGAACTGTGAGATCATGATCTAAATTGAAATCAAGAATTGGACACTTGACTAATCGAGCCACCCAGGCGCCCCTAGGGTTCCATTTCATTTTTATTTTGGCCAATTTAGCATTTCCTGAATAGCCTACTTATTCTAGTCACTCTTCAATATGAGCCTTATCTTTATCTTGATTTCCTTAATTTCCCAGATCTGCTTCTGGCCTCTTTGTTCTTTTACTATTTTTTTTTTTAATTTAAAAAAATTTTTTAATGCTTTTATTTATTTTTGAGACAGAGAGAGACAGAGCATGAGCAGGGGAGGGGCAGAGAGAGAGGGAGACGCAGAATCTGACGCAGGCTCTGGGCTCTGAGCTGTCAGCCCAGAGCCCAATGTGGGGCTCTAACTCACGAACCGTGAGATCGTGACCTGAGCTGAAGTCATACACTCAATCGACTGAGCTACTCGGGCGCCGCTAAAGACAATTTCAATTTAAAATATATATAGTGAAACTTTGGATTGTAACTTGTTCTGCAAGACAAGCAAACATTTCTAATAAATTTCCACTTGATGAATGAGCAATGTCTTGTAATAGGAGTATTACATGACACCGAATGTCACACAATTACAACTGAGCCAGTGGTTCGTCTCTCTCTCTCTCTTTCTCTATCTCTGTCTCTCACTCGTTTGCTGCAGGATCGTGGGTGATCATCTCCCATGCTCCGCTGCTGGGTCGCAGGCCGCAGTGTCTGGCAGAGATGAGTGATTTTTCAGAACACTGGGAGGTGCCCACAACTGGCACTGGTGAATTTTTGTCACGTCAAAGCACCTGTGGACAGTCCTCTGCTGTTCCACACAAGAGTGAGCTTAGGAATGGTTCGCTTCGTTCTAGGTCAGGCTGCCTGCGAATATAGACCCTTTCCTCTGCTGCCTTATTGCCACTTACAGTAAATATAGCCTACGACAAGAGTTTATCACTACTGTGCTGTAGTCAACATCCGTGCAAGTGTGTCCATGGCCCCATGCAGAAAAAGATTCCACTGAGCCAATAGATAGCAGTGATTCCGTTAGTGATAATGGAAGTCGTCCTACGCAATAACCCTTCTCTCTCGTGTCTCCCTCACTCCAGCCACGAGACTTTTCAAAGGGAAGTACAGGCTGGTTTGTTTATTTTCTTTATATTTTGTCTTTTCTTTATCATTCTGTATTATACTGCAGTATTGTAATCCTTTTTATATGAATATTTTGGGTTGTGGAACGAATCATCTGAGTTTCCATGATTTCTTATGGGGAAATTCACTTTGATATCCAAGTGCTTTGGATGCCAAGCATGTTTCTGGAATGAATAATGCTTATAAGCCAAGGTTTTACTGTACCTAAATTTCTAGGGGCGTCTTGGTGGCTCAGTTGGTTAAACATCTGACTCTGGATTTCACCTCAGGTCATGGTTTCAAGGTTGTGGGATCGAGCTCAGAGCTGGGCTCTATGCTGGGTGTGCAGTCTGCTTAAGATTCTCTCTCTCTCTCTCTCTCTCTCTCTTTCTCTATTCCTCCCCCTGCTGGCATGCAGGATCTCTCTCTCTGAAAAATAAGTAAATAAATAAAACATTTATCCAAATAAAATATATACCCCTTCCCTTAAAAAATAATTTAAAGAAGGGCACCTGGGTGGCTCAGTCAATTACGTGTCTAACTTCGGCTCACACCATGATCTCGCAGTTTGTGGGTTCAAGCCCTGTTTTGGGCTCTATGCTGACAGCTCAGAGCCTGGAACCTGCTTTAGATTCTGTGTCTCCTTCTCTCTCTGCCCCTCCCTCCTCATGCTCTGTCTCTTTCTTTCTCTCGCTCTCAAAAAAAAAAATAATAATCATTAAAAATAATAACTTAAAGAATTAAATAGTGAAATTGAAATCTAATTACACTATCAAAAAATTCTCAATATAAAATGACCTGTTAAAAAATATAAGATATGACAAAATAAGAGATTTATTTAAATCCAGAAAATTGAGTTAGCATCTCTATGTTTCTACTGGATTATGAATATCCTTTCAGAAACTTTGTTTCTTTAGTAGAGAAGTGAGCATAATAATTTTACTGGAAGACTTTCTTAAGATAAATTAATCCTAAAAGACATACAGCATTTATCTCATTACCTCAAATACAGAAAGTGGCCAACAGATACTCATTTTCTTTCGCCTTTGACAGAATCTATAGCAGTTTATATGTTACGAGACATTAAGGATAAACCTACGTTAGTCGTGCTAGGAAGAGATAACTGGTATCAGAAAGAAGAGAGAAAAATCAGTGGTGTACCTGAGAAATTTGTGGGTTATGTGTGTGGAATGGGATAATGCTTTTGAGGAGTCTCGGCCCTGGGAACTAAGGTGAGGCTTGTCTACACTGAAGATTGCTTTGGCCTGAAGCCCCTGAAGATGGTGTTTCTTCTGTGGACCTCACTCTAGTTTTTATTGAACTTCCTGGGGGAAGAGAGTCTTCAAGTACAATGAAACTCCAACATCTTAGATAGGAAGCAGATCTGAGAAAAGAGCCAAAGGGAAAGAGAGAGAAAGAAAGAAAGAAAGAAAGAAAGAAAGAAAGAAAGAAAGAGAAAGAAAGAGAGAGATAAGGAAAGAGAGGAAGAGGAGGAAAGAAGGAAAGGAGGAAAGGCAAAAAGACAAGAAATCCAAAGAGAAAAGGGGTACCTAAGAAGTAAAGACTCAAAAAAGAACATCTCACACGGACTGAAGACCTAACACTTTGGCTGAGGATCAGGTGTGTCTTTGGCTCTGATACTGAGCCATAATGGGATCCCCTGGTGGTATTAACTGGGAGTCTGAGTCCTTGAGTTTCTGTGGGGGCTGAGTTTTATGGTCCTCAGTGGCCTGGGCCAGAGAGCTGTCATAGAGATGACCATGGCTTCTCTAAGCCACAGGGGCTTTCAACTAGGGCACAGTAGGTACAGAGATTTTTATGGAAAGGACATATATCACTTCAGGGAAGAAATTGTCTTTAAGCTAAATGACCAGATGATAGATAGATAGATAGATAATAGAAAGATAGATGATAGATAGATAGATAGATAGATGATAGAAAGATAGATGATAGATGATAGAAAGATAGGTGATACAAAGATAGACAGAAATATAGATAGATGATAGAAATATAGATAGATGATAGATAGATAGATAGATAGATAGATAGAAAGATAGAAAGATAGATGATAGGGGCGCCTGGGTGGCGCAGTCGGTTAAGCGTCCGACTTCAGCCAGGTCACGATCTCGCGGTCCGTGAGTTCGAGCCCCGCGTCGGGCTCTGGGCTGATGGCTCAGAGCCTGGAGCCTGTTTCCGATTCTGTGTCTCCCTCTCTCTCTGCCCCTCGCCCGTTCATGCTCTGTCTCTCTCTGTCCCAAAAATAAATAAACGTTGAAAAAAAAAAAAAAAGAAAGAAAGATGATAGATAGATAGATGATAGATAGAAATATAGACAGATGATAGATACATAGATACATACATAGAAAGACAGATGATAGATTATTATGCACCTCAGCATTTGCCTGTGTCCTATCTTCTCAAGACACAAGCTTACTGAGAATAATGGAATAGACAGTGGGTTATTAGTTTCCAGCTGGGGATGTGTCAGCTGGGAAGGCCATGGCTAAGATCCAGAAGTCACATGCATTGAGTATTTACTTTGTGCTGGAAACTTTACCTACATTGTTTCATTCAAAACCCTATGAGAAGATAAATGATTCCCATGGCATAGATGAATAAACTGAGGTTAGGAAAATGAAAAATGAACTCCGCCAAGCCCACTGTTTGGAACGTAAGAGAGCCATGATTTCCACGGAACGCGAACCCCATTTTTTCTCCATGAGGCTCACTCTGGTGGCTAGCTTCATGAGGACAGAGAACCTACTGGGTCGGCGGGAGAGGATCTCTCAGGCCAGGAGATAATAGAGTGGGGGCCGGGGCAGAGATAGAGAGCAGGGCAGGTTTGGGAATGAGAGTCAAAGGGGATTCTGGAATCCTCAGAGCGCTAGAGCAGGTGCTCAGAATCCAGTGGGGAATGCGGGGGGAGGGGGGACGGGCCCCTCTCTGCCTCCGCAGGAGACCTGTCCTTGCCTAGGACTCTGCTACCCTCACCAGCCACACATGCAACTCCGGCGTCTTTTGTTCACCTCCCGTGTTCGCAGCTGATTGCAACATCTGCTTGCAAGGCACAGTTCCAGTGAGTGCAAATGTGCTGCGCTGAAATTAAATAAATATCGAGACACACTTCTGCTCCTACCCCCTCACTCTCCTCCCATTACCTTGGTTCGAATCGTAATGGTTCGAGTGCGGGGAGTCCCGGTAGCTCTCTTAATTTCATCTGTTAGGGAAGCCACTCTCCAACCATCACAATCCGGCTTACTCGGCTCCAAAAGACACAAGCAGCTACGGCAGACGAGAAAAATGTGAGAAACCACTCTTGCAGGGGAAGCACACACGGTACAACAGAAGCATCTTCGAACGATTGGCATCTTTCCTGCTTCTGTTAATTTATCACGGACGCTTAACGTGCTTTCACGGAGCACCTGCTGTGGGAAAGATCGTGTGTTAGTGCAGTTCCTGGGCTGCCAAATCAAACACAATGGAATAAAAGAATGACCAAAAGAAGATTCTCTCACGAAGCCACATAGTTATACAGAAGGGAGGGAAACATACGAAGTTTTTGAATGATGCAACAAAGTCACTCGATGGAAGCGATGTGCAGATAAAGGTGACGTACGGATAAAGCCCTCCCTGGACGCAGAGCCAAGATTAAGTTCACTTGGAGGACGACACAAAGAGGACTTCAGATTACATTCTGAGGTGAGGATTCTTTTGGAAGATCTTGATCAGAAGACTTTCCATCAGTTACTACTGTGTTTCCTAGGGCCCATGATAGAGCAAATCGATTGCTTGCCAGCCCCACCTGACGTAGGCTCATAATGGCGCTCTCTTCTTAGCACTCATGATCACCTAAGACCTAAGGGGTTTGCACATCTACTCACTTGGCCCCCTATTACAATTAAACAGTGATCTTTATGAGAACACAGGCTTTGCTTTCGATTATTCCCAATGCCTAGGATAATGCTTCGCGCAGAGTAGATACTTGATACTTGTGTGGCTGGAAAGGAGCCAGTTAAAGTCTGTGCCCCCTACACCCCTCAGAGTAAAGGGGGGGGGGGTCTTTGTACCTGACGTGGCAGATTGGAGTCAGGGACTTTGCGGTGCAATCTCCTCTGGGGCATGAGGACCCCTGGACGCCTGACATCTGAGTAGAGTCCTGCATGGAGAGAAGTCATGGGGACAGGATGTCTCTCCCAAGCCCCTGAGAGCATCTGCACACATGATATAAGCTTTACTGTGCCTGCCTCCATGGTGCAATGGGACCTCAAAACATAACTTACCTTGAGTTAAGGAATAACAAGGAAACTTGCTAAAATTTTTTAAAAACTTTTATTTAGTGTTGAGAGAGAGAGAGAGAGAAAGAGAGACAGAGTGTGAGCCAGGGAGGGGCAGAGGGAGAGGGAGACGCAGAATCTGAGGCAGGATCCAAGCTCTGAGCCTTCGGCACAGAGTCCGACGCGGGGCTCGAACTCACGAATCACGAGAACATGACCTGAGTCAAAGTCGGCGTTCAACCAGCTGAGCCACCCAGGCGCCCCACAACTGAATTTTTTTTTTACAACTGGATTGTTTAATAGACAATAAATGCTCTTGGATATTCATCCTGATGATGTGTGCAAATGTATGAAATGCACACGGTGCAGGAGTGGCCTCGTGGCTCGTGGGAACGGAGCCTTGCAGGGGCTCTGATTGACGAATTAGGTAAGGACGGCGTTTGAGGTTTGCCGACGTCCAGGCCCGTGAGGAGGGTGGGCTTCAGTCTGATAAAGACCCACGGTCACAGCTTAAGCTCTCTGCTTTGCTGTTTAATGTGATGCTGGCCAGTCTGCACAATACGAATGCCGGGAAAACACTTACTGGGTCTTGACGGTGAGTCGAGCAGCAAGGCCCTGCCCTGAAGAGAGCAGGATCCCAACCACGGAAATCGCAGTGCGTCCAAAAGGATTGGAGAACAGTTACGAAATCATACCCATAGTTTTTTCTGGATGTTGGTGGGATGCTAATCCCTACCTCTTGAGCTACATCGTGGGGATTTCTAAATTTTGCACGATAGAGTCCTTTAAAATTACAGACTGCTTTGCTATATTTCTTTTTCAGATTCTAAAACAGCGTGGCTCTGTTGTAAAAAATGCCATAAAGAACATCTTGAATCAACAACTTAAAACTCCAGAATTGTATCCCTCGGAAATTGCTGTTACTAACCACTCCTTATTTCTTTCTACTCCTTTAACTTACGTAAGTACGCCCAAGTACACACGTATGGACAGATGCATGTGTATTTTATATCACAAAGACAGCATCACTCTCTGTACATCTTGCTGAATCTTACGGTTCTCATGCAGCTGATATCTTATCATCAAACATGTCTAAGATATCCTCTACAAAATTTTTTCCCGACATTTCATTTTTAATTACTGCGTGATGTAACATCACAAGCGTGTGTGAGAATAAGTGGTTTTGGCCAATTATTTCTATTAGGCAGTTAATTTATTTCTCTGTTGCCCTTTCAAAGGCAACAACTCGGTGATGAATTTCTAGTACAGATGTTGTTTTACACTTGTCAGATTAATTTTTTCAGACACAGTCTCAGAAGAGAAATTGATGAATGAAAGACGACATGCATTTTTAAGGCTTCCTGATGTGTGTTCAAATTGTCCTGAAGAAGGCTGGTACCAGTAAAATTTTTACTGGAGTTTTAGAGTTCCTGTTGGTCCGCACCGAGGCCAACCTCAGGCTCTACCCTAGTTGTTCACGAAGGAGAGAGACTCAAATGGTTTCCAAAGGATATTCAAAGTCTTGTTTTTGGTTAAAGAAAAAACCAGCTGAACACTGACCACTTGCTTTTTTCCAGGGTATTTTTAGGAGAATAGTTACAATTCCTGTTATGTTTGGATTTTTCCAATCCCAATATCTAATGAGTATCCTTAAAGCAAAGGCAGCAAAGCGTTGTTTTATATTCTATATCAGGAATTCTGATGTCAGTTATCTTGTTTTCAGCACAAGAGCAATGATAAAGTGAAGGTTTCATGCTGACTTTCCTGTCACGGTTTCCCAACCTGTAGGTTTCTGTTTTATTTTATCTCTTGAAGGTTGAGCATGGCTTTGAGAATGAAGTAAGTCCCACCCTCAGTCTTTCCGATGGAACACCGGAGAATTACACCTGCTTCTCCTTCCACAGAGGGAAGGACGCACTAGTGACAGAGGATGACAATTATTGCACGATGCTGCTACGAGAAGATTCCCCTCTTCTCTCAGATTTCTGCGTCTTCGGTGAACACGGCCAGCTCGGTGTAGAAGTAAGCCTTCTACGAACAAACGTCAGCTCCCTCTCCTTCCTCTGGCCCACAAATCTTGTTAGACATGCAGGCAGGCTCCCTGTACTTTATGGAAGAGACAAGAAAAGACAGGCTCAGACTCCTGAGATTTCAGGGTATACTCCGGCCATTTGCTAAAGCAAATGCTTCCTGCCTCAATAGCACAGGGTGACAGAGAGACGTAAAACACGTTTCCCTAATAATGTCAGGATTTTCTGCTAATGTGACCTGCGAGGTGAAAGCCTTCGAATTCAAGGTGAGTTCAAAGCTGTTTGAAGGGGACAGCCACAGGCCAAAGGGAGACCGAACGCACGAGAGAGGTTGAGATGTAGAGCAGACACAGGTGAGGAAGGAAACTGAGCCAGGGGACGAGAAGCTGGAGGAACAGAGGAAGGTGCACACGGGAGAAAGGTCTGGAGGCACCGAATTTGGCCTTCCACCGGGCTGGGTGATTCTGCTGGGCTGGTCATTGTATTTATGGGGCGGCCCTGTTGGTGCTGGTGCTTTTAAGAGGTGAAGTGCATCCATAATCTTTGAGAGCACCTGGTGCAGATGTGACCCTGAGCCAGATACCGTGGGGGACGTGGTAGCGATGGGTCAGCACAAAGGCAGCCGTGCTCCTCAAAGTCAGCAGAGTATGACCGGAAACGCTCTCTCCTAGACAGAGGCTACCATGCAAATCAGGGTTCTGGGCCAAGCTTAACACCCACACCCATCTTCTCTTTAAGACATAATAGCAGGTGTTTGATGAACTCTGATATGTCAGGGCCTATCATATGCAAAGGCCCATTCGCTGATGATGCAAACAAGACGAGGGAACTGTCGTTCTAACCCTCTGGAGAACTTGGTAAATGTGTACTGAATGGGTGAGCGAATGAATGAGTGAATGAATGAGTGAATGAATGGAGTGAATGAATGAAGGAAGGCAGGAAGGAATGGATGAGTGAATGAATGAACGAATGGATGAATAAGTGAAGGAATGAGCAAATGAATGAGTGAATGAACGGATGGCACATTGACACTTAGTGCTTTTTAAGCCACAAATGAATATCAGATTATGAGTTCCAGGATGGGGGGAGGGGGGGCGTCCTTGTCTCTCTGGTTTTATGTCCAGAATCCACATATAATTAGACTGATATTCTCATAACAAAAGTGGAAATAATTGTGTGTTTGCATCTCTCGAGACGTATTAGTCTTTAACTCAGAGATCATACTCTCTGGGTATGAATAAACCAAAAGCACCATTTTTTTTATAACTTAACTTTATTTTTTCTTCTTTTTAAAAATTTTTTTTCTTAATGTTTATTTTTTTGAGACAGAGAATGAACGGGGGAGGGTCAGAGAGAGAGGGAGACACAGAATCTGAAATAGGCTCTGAGCTGTCGGCACAGAGCCCGACGCGGGGCTCAAACTCACGGGCCATGAGATCAGAATCAGACGCTCAACTGACTGAGCCACCCAGACGCCCTATTTTTTATTCTTTAAAATTTACATCCAAATTAGTTAGTATATAGTGAAGCAATGATTTTAGGAGTAGATTCCTTAATGCCTCTTACCCATTTAGCCCATCCCCCCTCCTACAACCCCTCTGGCAACCCTCAGTTTGTTGTCCATATTTAAAGAGTCTCTTCTGTTTTGTCCCCCTCCCTGTTTTTATATTATTTTAGTTTCCCTTCCCTTATGTTCATCTGTTTTGTCTCTTACAGTCCTCATATGAGTGAGGTCGTATGACTTTTGTCTTTCTCTGACTGACTAATTTCACTTAGCATAATACCCTCCAGTTCCATCCATGTAGTTGTGAATGGCAAGATTTCACTCTTTTTGATTGCCGAGTAATACTCCATTGAATATATATACCAAATCTTCTTTATCCATCCATCCATCGATGGACATTTGGGCTCTTTCCATACTTTGGCTATTGCTGATAGTGC